GTTGCACTATTAAAAAAATCTGTGTGCTGCTTGGAGATGCTGTTACTTGCATTTCTGAAAAGTAAAGAAGTAAAGAAGCACAAAGGAGCTTGCAGTGTTTTGCTCTCACTTTGGTCAATGGCAAGGGTTTTCACCAGCTACAGAGAATCAAGTCTTGGAGCACCAATTAGAAGCACTCATGGCTTGATGAGGTTTGATAACTTCAACTTTATAAGTGAAAATAAAAAGTCAGAACTGGAAAACAGACTAATAAGGTAGTGTCAGTGCACATTTGAACCACCAGTAAAAATGCATATGGCAGATGTCACAGCTGCCACTAACCCTGATAGGAAGAGCTTGGAAATGTTTGCAGATTCATATCTATGCTTTCACAGAAACTATGGAAATTATAAGACTGATCATATTTTAATTTTCTAAATTATTTTTTTAATCCTTGGATTTTATCCAAAGATACATGGAAAAAAATCAGCAGAGAATTATCATCATTATTATAGGTCAATTCTTGATTTCTCTGGATGACACTTTGTGTACTGTGCATGTGCAGTAGGCTTTGTGATTGACTGGAAAAGTGATACTAGCTGCAAAAATACTTCCACTGTTTTTAGAGACTTGATTTTACACTATCAAAATTAATGGAAATGTAATTATTAATTTGAAATAGTGTTGAAATGACTGCATGAATCCTGAAACTTTGCAGTATTTTAAACAGGTAGCTTCAGATTTTTGTTTTTACAGTGCTGTATTTTCAAAAGGTTGTAAATCTATCTTGACTTGCTCATTTCAGCTGGAAACAATGCAAAAAATATCTACATCTAAGCGATTAAAATATTTCCTTTGATAAGAAAAAAATCAGTATTGATTAAAAATAGGTTTTGTTAGGGAAAATTAAAAAAAACGTGAAAACCCTACTTCAGAAAAATTTTTAGGTGTCTACAAATATTACAAGTTGAAAATGAATTGTACAGTATCTCTTTATTATTTTTAAATTTATTTTTTCTTTCTTTTAACCAGTCTTCCTGTCTTCATTTCTTTGAATAAGTGAGAAAAAGCTTATTCTGTTGAATCACATCTTCCAAAGCAGTCACAGATGACCTTAGAAAGCAAGAGATAATTCACTGGATGCTGTAAATTCCACCAAAATATTTAATTTAAGTTATTGCATTTATAAAAGGCCATAAATCCCAACTTACTTCTTAAAGTGTGTTTCATTCTTTGAGTCAAAAGAAAGTGGTTCCAGCCACCACATCATAGATTGCTAATTTGTTTTGTCTTTCTCATCAAATAGCTTAAATGCCACAGTTCCTTTTCCTGGATCTCAAAGGAAGCATCTGAAAAAAATCACAGGATGTTTATACTGTGCAACTGTTTCCTAATTTTGTAGAAAGCTTCTACTATGGTGATCCTCAGCTTGAATTTAAACACAGTTTACCCAGTAGCCAGTCCAACTCACTTTCAAACCAGATATAGGATGTACTGGAAGAGAGGCATATGCTTAACTTTTTCTTTAATACTTTATCTAGACTTAGGTAGAATTTCCAAATACTAAGTGTTAAAATTTATAGATCACAAAATTGCCCTGGGCACAGTTATTTCTTTCATGCCATGAATTGTCTACAGGGGTTCTTCTTTTACCCTCTGCCTCTTTATATTAAAATATATTAATGTACTTTTCCTTATTAACAGCGGTGAAAGTAGACAATTTCATTTCTAGGTCCATCACAGAGTAATTTATCTCAGCAGCACTGCATACTATCCTCCTTCCTGATAGTTGAAATTTCTTTCACATCAGGATCAAACTAAACTTTCTTGTCCATTAGGAGTTTACAAACCTTGCTGGATTGTGTTTTGCTCCTCAGTCAAGTGAAACACCTAGTCATGCTAGACATTTAGGTGCAATTAAAGCTTCCGCTTCCACATTGTCGTGGGGACACAATTCATTTTGTGACACAGTTTTTTGATCTCTTTTAGACAAATAAAGGCAAACTTTATGAAAGGGAAGTGCTATCATTATGTGAGTTTGTAATTCTCTCAGAATATATCGGAGACATTGCTTCAGAATAATGAATTACAAAAATAAATATTAAGGAGTGAATTTGGAATTAATCTATCTCTATCAACTTCCACAAATGTAATAACTGCTCATAATGTACAATCTTGATTCAATATATTTTATACACATAGCCAGAAAAAAATTAATCTGTGTAGATGTAAATATGAACTCAAACATTAAGTTCCAATTGCATCTCAGTCCAAAGCTATTTTATTGCATTTCATCAGTTGTAGTATTTTCCTTTTATATATTTCTATGCTTCTAGACATATTTCTGATAATCATACAGTATGCTATCTGCCTGCAGAATTAGCCAGGCAGTTATCTTAAAACAAATACAGTCTGGTTTTCAGATTTTCTTGGGCCAAATAGAAAAATGAAGAGGCTTCTCTAGAGCCCATTCCAGCAAAAACTTTCCTGTCCATGGCCTGCATTCTTAAACTAACAGAGTAGAAGAATTTATTACTGATAGTATTAAAATCTGGTGCAGATAATCAGTGGGTTGGAGGTAAAGGGGACAGAGACAGATAAGACAGAACTGATTCACGGGGAAAATGCAACTTTTAGGTGGAGACAATGTCATAACCAAAATCAGATTGACCTCCCAGCTTTCAAAACTGGTTTTGGTTTTAAAGGGGAGAATTCTACAGAAAATGAAATTTTAGCTGGACATTGTTTTTTTCCCAAATGCCTAGTTTTCAAGTCTTCACAGGTTCCTTTTAAATTTTTAACTTCTTCTAGTCATGGCTAACGTAAGAGTAGGAAAAACAGACTTTGGTTAGCAAGACTAGCTCAGCAACATTCATTTTCAGGGATAAGGAGATAATCCCCTCTCTGTGAGGTGATAAATTAGTTGATAATTCACTGACTGGAAATTCAAGGAATCAAGAATGACTAGCAGGAAAGACTTTTGAGAAGCTAAATGCCACAATTTGTACACATGGAATAGTAGCTAGTTTATTTTTCTTCATTTAATTTCCTCTCTCTTCTTCCTTTTTAAATGCAAGTCTAAGGGATTTTATAACAAAAAGAGGAAGCTAACAGAAAAACCAGAGTATTTGTTTCTGTGAAGTGCTATTCATCTCTTGAGTACATGACAATGATGACATAGAAAGCTGGCATGGTTTAACCAGCTTCACTGAATGCAGTTTGTTTTCATGCCTGATTGCTTTTGTATCAATCCCACATTTTAGCTGTGTTCTAACATGTTTTCAAGTATTGTCTGCAAACACTCAGGAATATCTACATTCATGCTCATGATTGGCATAGTTAGGCTGCGATCATTTTTCCTCTCATGTTTTCTATTCTGATGAGACCATGAAGGTTCTATAGCTCAAAGAACCACATTATTGTGGGGCTGCTGTAATGATGGATGGTGCCTGTGTAGATGCAGCCAAGGCAAAAACTGACAGTTCAGGAGTGGGGCCCTTAAAACACTCTAAAAGGTAGCTAGTAAATGTTTGACAAGGACAAACACTTGGATGGGGAGGAAAACAATGGTCTTCTAGTTAAGTAACCTGGTCTAAATCTCTGCATGGTCATAGGAAAGATTCTTCCACTATAGCTTCAGAGTCTGGAATTCATAATGATGGGTTCTTGTCCAAGCTAGTTCTGAGCTAAATTGCATTATCACTGTAACAGCTTCAACCCAGCTGATGTTCAAACCAGGAGAAACTTAGTGGCTTTTAAATTTTCTTCCTGATGTGTAACTCACATTTTAAACACAAAGCTGTGTAAGTAAAGCCACATTTATTGGGTCAGTTTCACAAAGTACCAGGGTTCAGGCCATCTGGGACACATCATTACTTAAGATAAACTGAAGGACAAGCTTATGGAAATCCCTAGAAAGTAAATTAAACCACCTGTCCTTATTATCAAACACTTCTGCCTCTTCCTCCTCTTTTATATTCCATCTTTCTTTGTAGACTTGACTTCTCTCTGTTCTTCTCTCTGCTTTTTTATTTTCTTTTATCTGATACCATAAATATATGTTGCCACCATGTATTTGCTGTCTTATTTGTGTTTCTGTTACCTTGAACAGTCTGTTTTTTCTGTCTGGTCCTGCCATCTCTCTGTCTCTTTAGATTTGCTCATGGCACTCAGTAATTTTCCTTCTTTCAAATTATTGGCTAGTTTAATAGTTTTACCACACCCTACCATTATGTTTTGCTGTGATAGATACCATATACTGTTTGTCTTTATAAACTGATTTTACAGACTATTGTAACATACGAATTTTATGACACCTTATACAAAACAAAGCAGCCTATTGCAGAACTATTCCCCACAAATACATATTTGGAGGAACCACTAAAGCCTCCATTCTTTCAGAAACCCTCTGAATTCTGAGAAATCCTTATTAGGGACATCTTGAAGAAAAGACTTGAAAGGGATCTCCCATGATATAAGTTTCATTCTGTTCCTGCTGCAGGCTGCATTATCAAAATATTCTTCATAAATTTAAAAAGAGTTGTCTTGAAACTAGTTCTTCTTTCAGCACCCTTATCACATCTTCCAACAAGTCTGTTAATAAACTGATCATTTTTAAAGACAATCATTAGGAGACTGGATGTGTATTTTTAGATACAGAAATAATGTCATACATTTCCAGGACTTCCCTGTTGCTTTTCAGCCTTGCACTTACTGCTTTGCACAGAACATCATCTTTCCCTAAATAGATCTTGTTAAGAGAAGATAAGCTAATGAAAGATATGTCATGGAATACTGGTTTCCTATTTGTTAAAATATGCTGGATATAATCTGAAGATTGACTTCTTTTTTTTTTTATTCTATAAGGGTCTGTATCCCAAGCATTTTATGCATGTTTTTGGGTCTAATCACAATGAAAGCAAAAAGTTTGTGTGGAGTCAAAATTGCCAGCTAACAACAGCTGTTGCTCAAATTGTTTCTCCATTTCATTTCTGACTCACTGTTTTTGTGTTTCCTTGCAGTTTTCCACTTGTCCCACAAAGTCACTCGGGTGGTTCCAGAAAGTGCTCTGCTGATTGTCCTCGGTATTTTCCTCGGTGGCATTGTATTGGCAGCAGATCACATTGCCTCCTTCTCCTTGACACCAACTGTATTTTTCTTCTACTTGCTGCCTCCCATTGTTTTGGATGCTGGATATTTTATGCCAAATAGACTCTTCTTTGGAAATCTTGGCTCCATCCTTTTGTATGCTGTCATTGGGACAGTATGGAATGCTGCCACAACAGGTTTATCTCTCTACGGTGTCTACCTGACAGGAATAATGGGTAAGTTTGATATGTGAGGGCACACTTATAATAATGCTACTGTATATACTGTTAGATGGGCGATAAGTTACAATTTAACAACTCTTTCCAGCAGAAAAATTCAATTTTAACGGGAGCAGTTTGTAATATCTTTGTCAAATTTAAGAATGACCTGAAAAATCTTCCCTAAGGAAAATATAAAAGCTACTTGAATCCATTTCCCTTATATTGTTCTGCTCTAAAAATGTGTGTACATTCTCAGGATAAAACTCAGGATTCTTTCTGCTAATGGACATCTGGACAAAATATACACTAAAGGGCTTGCTTCTTTCTGATGTGATAGAAACCTTAAAAGTTGCTCCGAGATGGAAGTGTCTTCCTGAAGCCAGCTTTAGGGTTATGAGTTATATTTATTTAATATTTATAATTTAATATTTATGTTATTTAATAATAAATGTTATTACTGTATTTAATGTTATTAGTGGAACTAAACGTTATTTATAATAAGTGTTATCCAATATTAAATGGCCACTGAGTGGGTATATATACATGACCCATCTACACATCTCTTTTGCATTTTCTGAGTCTGGAAATCGTAACTGAAGAAGTTTTACAGACTGAAGTACCAGATGTCTTACTAAAAAAAAGGAAAAAAGGAAAAAAAAAGAAACCATTTCAATGAGAGCAGTCCAAAGGGCCTTGAAAGGGTGGCTGATGCACAATTTCCTAGACCACAAATCCAAAAAGTGAGGATTTCCTTCTGCTTGTGCTCTTGCCAGAGAAGCTGTGGATGCTCCATCACTGGCAGTGTTCAAGGCCAGGTTGGATGGAGCTCTGGTCTAGCAGAAGGTGTCCCAGGCAGTGGAACTGGAGGGTGTAAGAAGTTCCTTCCTGCACAAACCATTCTGTGATTCTAAGACACACTTTGTCTTAATTACATGGCAATATAAGGGCACAGGGCTGCTAGAAGAGGCACAGAACAGCAGTACTTAATCTCGACAGACTTTCATTTAAGACTCATGTTATGTAATTGCGGATGTTTATAATATAGACAGCTATGATAGATACATTTTAGATATTTACCTTATTATAGCTCTTATTTTAGAAGGAACAATATTTTCTTTAGAAGATACAAAAGTGACAGCTCAGATGCAAAAATCTTTGGCTTCTTTAGGTAGATAAGAGGTTTACTGTGCTTTAAGCAAAATATTTCATCTGCAATATCACATTTATAATTAGAAACAGGTTTTCGGGAAGAGAATATATGACAAGGATATTGCTACTGCAGATTGGAAAAAGATTTCTTTACTTAAATATCCAAGATGCTTGAAACAATTTAAAAAATATGACCAAAAATATTTTCTTAAAATTCTGTTCTGGGAAATATAATGTATGTTAATTACTCTAAAAAATATGTTGATATAAATCATTACAGGGAAAGGATTGATTTCCTTACAGCATGTGAAATGGAGAAGTTGACTGTTTTCCAAAAAAAATTTTATTTTATGTGAAAAATTCACCTAAATTATCCTTCTCCTCCCAATCTGTAAACAACTCTTGACTAACTGTGAAAGCTGGATTTGATGGTTCCATATTCTGCTTCATTCGTATGTAAATCTTTTAGTGACAGTGTATACTAGAACTCTGAGCTTACAGCTACACAGGAGAATCAGCTCCTACCACAGGTCACAACTAAAGCTCTACAAGAGAAATAAGGGGATGTTAATAAAGGCAAACAATAAACTGACATGTCTGACGAAACTTGAATGTTTAGAAAGAGCCTTATTGGTGTACTGTGGGGGCCTGTCTTTGCCACAAAGACCTACAAGAGTTCTAATTTCAGCTGTGAAAAAGGCCAGACAAAGCTGTCCCTGATTCAAACTATGTCATTCTCCAGCAAAGCTGAGGAGGAGTCTAAAATATCTACATGACACAGACTTACTAATCCACTAAATCTATTGTGTTAACCTCCAAGAGGTCAACAAGATCTAACCACCACACTTTGTGAAAAACCTTGCTGTTGTAACTCGCTGAAGATAAGAGAATGCTGAATTTGTTTCTAGAAGAGTTCATAGCACCTTCTGGTTGAAGTTCTATGGTTTATATTTATATCTATCCCACTTGTTCTACAATTGAAGTGAATAATGCTAGAAGTAATATAATCAAAATGTAGAAATGTAAATCCACTAGACTAAGACAAACTAAAACCAAATTACTTCTAGCTTTGCCATTCAATGGGCCTGTAGTACTGTCCACCAATATAGGAGTGCATAATCTAAACTGGATTGCACAGATTTCCTACATAAATAAACATAAAAACATCTCTTTGTTGGCATTCAAAACCCTTGCAGATATTATAATTTACAGAAGGAAAATGGAGAAGGTGATAATGACAAAGAAATCCTTCTTTGGAGCTGAAATAAAAAGATCAGAACATTACCTGTTAGCCGTCAGTCATATCAGGCTGCTTCCACAGAACAGGAAGAATTATGTAATACTGTAATACCAGATCTTCCAGCCTTACTGCAGCAAACTGTTCACCGTCCACTGGAGAACTAACACTTTAAGTACTGTGGTTGTGACTAATGCTTAGAACACTTTTTCCTGTACAATCGAGGTCATAGCTGCAACATGCTGAGTGTGTCTAAAAGTCTTAAACTGGGCCCAGTGCACTTATGTTGGTCAGGTGTCACTGACGAGCTGGAGGAAGCCATGGTCGTGTACTAGTTGAAAATAACTGCTGTTATTACTCTAAATGAAAGTCTGGTTTAGAAACTCCAGGCCTCTTAACAGTGCTTTGTAGGAATTATAGATGTGTCCTAATCTCCTCATAAATATTTGCTTACTAGCTTTGCAAGTCTTCAAAGAATGTACCAATGATTATAATTGGTAACACATAAAAAAGATAAGCAATCTCAGTGAGCCAATTTATTTTCAAACCTTACGTTCTATTATGCCCTATTATCTGATAGTTATTGTCATTGGGCTTGTTCCTTCCTTAGGCCTGCCTGAGAAGGACAACATTTGGTGGAACCATTGCTTAGCTTTAGGTTCAAGGCTGTTCTCAGAATTTTTGGCACAAACTGAAGGTCCCTGCCTCAACCCCACTCGCATGCTGAAACTGATAGGCTCGGTCTTTGTTCACAGCCCGGTATGTCCAAGCGTGAACTAGATTATTTATCTTCTTGAAAAAATAAGGTAGTTAGACATATGTGCAAGCTATGAATTTCTGTTTTCAGGGCCACACCAAGATCCCTACAACCTGTATGGAAGCCTTGTAGATATTCTGATTGGCAGATAGCAGCTAAGAGAATATATAGATCTGCAGTTCCACCAGAGTATTGGGCATTGTCACATATAACAGAGTGTTGTCTACTCATTTCTCTGACTGCCCATATCAGTGTCTTTTCCTTGAGTAAATAAGCCTATGCCATTTTGTGTCAAAAATATTTGGAATCTGGTTTCTGTTTCAATTACATACTAAACACAAACCATTTTGAATTTGAAAAATTTCCTTTTAGACGTCTTTCTGGAGGGTGGCCATGTTGTTCTAGAAGTACCTAGCAGGCACTACTGATCTTGTGGCTATTGCTACTGACAGTCATTGTCTGGCTCATGCTTCAAAACTATTTAATTAGATGAATTGCTTCTTTACCTGTAGAAATCGTGCCTGATAATTTTGGGCATGGGCCTCTGCATTGTGTTTTAATGAATGAATTGTCAACCTATTCCTTATTTGCTCTTCCTTATATAATTTTTGGCACCATTACTTCTTAATGAACCTTGCTTCTTCCTCTTTTGAACACAAAGGGAATTTTTCTGCTCAGAAATCTTTTTCCCAGAAAAAATGACTGGGTTACCAGTCTTGATTTCATGAAGAGGGTAGATTTTGCAAGGTTTTAGGAAGGTGAGCAAAGTGTTTTTTGTGGCTCTGCCTTTTCTGCTGCTTATAAAATGACAGTGAATGCTTGCCTCCGTCTATTTGCATAACTGAACAAAATAGCCTTAATAACTAAGAGAAAGTTAAAAAAAATACCGGGTTACACTGTCACCAGAGTTTTGCAGTTTCAAAACTTTTGAAATCATTGCCAAAATTCCTAAGAGGCTACAACACAAACATGTTGAGGTACATTTTGGTCCTTCATCTATTTTTATGGTCCACTTGCAGACAATTTAACAGCCTCATGAATCCTAATTTGGGAACAAGTGGCTTAACCACACCTATCAGTGAGTAAGGAGGCCACAACTGGTATTCAGCTGTTCTGAGTGCAGTTGAATACCACTGCAGCAATTCTTAGTGACCAAAAGTCAAATTTGACCTGTAACATGAAATATTTTGGGACATTTACTTCAGAAATGCTGGTATGATCTTAATATCTTGTGAGTTCTCACTTATCCTAGGATAATTTAGTCAAGTTAGACAAACCATGCTACACACAAATAGAAAGCCAATTTAGATCTGTATCTGTCTTGCCACAAGAACAGGCCAGTAGTGGTCCTGCTTCCAGAAACAACTTTGATCCACATGGGCCAATGCTGAACCCAACAAAACTTGTAGGAAACAACATGACTCAGTGTAGAACTTTTTAAGCAGTCACTGTAATGCACTTTCCAGGTGATACCTTGGCATCTCTATTTTCCAGTATTTGGCATTATCTAAAATATCCCAGTCTGACATTATTATTGATAATACAGAGATTATTCTACTTATAATTTGTTTGCTTTGTTTTTTAAGGTGAAATGCAGTCTGGGCTGCTGGATTTCCTCCTCTTTGGCAGCTTAATTGCCGCTGTGGATCCTGTAGCTGTTCTGGCAGTGTTTGAAGAAGTTCATGTCAATGAAGTTCTATTCATCATTGTTTTTGGAGAATCACTTCTGAATGATGCTGTAACTGTGGTAAGTAAATTATATATCCTAAAGTCAACCTAACTCAAGGGGATTTCTTCTGAAGTGCATTTTCCCCTTTAAAGAAATGCTGTACTCTCTGTGTGTATCTACTAATGGGCTATTGTAGTGCAGCTCATGGTGTTTTCTGTCTTGCTTAAAAATATTAGATGTTTGAGCATGAAAGATTTTGGAGCTGGTAAGTGATGTAAAACACACAGACCTGGGTTGGACACTTCAAACGAAATTCAGGACTGCAAGTTTTATTTGCTTTTGCTGCTTAAGTAGGGCATTCATGACTTAATGAAATTACTTCCAGGGATTTTAAGCTAACTTCCTTTGCTGTTATTTTTTAATACGCATACATTTTTCTCCATATTTGTGTTATGCCCATAATTTATATGCATACCTCAGTCATTGAGAGAGATAGAGCGAGAGAGAGAGTGAGAGAATACTCTTCAAAGTGTTTGTGCCTGCTCCCTCAGTTTTACTTTGATTACATGTTTACAAGCAGATACATAACAAAGAGCCAATTTGGAAAAAAAACATGTGACATTTTAGGAGGTTTCTGTTATTCTTTTTTTATTTTGGTTTGGTTTTTTGTTCGTTTGGGTTTTTTTTGTTTGTGTTTCTTTTTTTAACAATTTTTAATTTAGAAAGTCTTTACTAGACTTTAAAAAATCCCAGATTTCTTCTGATATTTTTATTTTGATTGAAACACCTTTTCTTTTCACATGTTTTTTTTTTCCTAGAGTAAAATTGTCAATAGTTTTGTGGTGCAGTGCTAGTGGTCAGGGACCAGGAAGTCCTAAGGCAGAAAGATGCTATGCAACTACATTGCAGCTTCAGTTCACTTTTGGATCATTTTCTGTTCCTGCCCCTGCCTATCTTCAAGGGGGGGAAAGACATGTTCACGAGGCTCAGTGACTTAAGTTTTTGCAGCCAAGGAAGCAAAGCACTCCAAGGTCATTGGCAGCAGCCTAACTGTTCACATGAATTTGAAAATGATAGTCTGGCTTCCAGAGAAACCTAATTGCCCTTGGATACCTGTATCATTAGTACTTCTGGGGTATTGCCAGAAAAAAACATTAAGATAAACCTCTGATGAACTCAAGTATCAACATGACTGGCTTTCAGAAGGTAAGGAGCTTTTGTTACTGTGAAATGAACAGTCTACAAATAAAAGAAAGTTTGATTGTTCATTGATGAGAAAATGGAAGGGCAACTATGATCCAGAGCTAGAAAGTACAGGCTGTGAGGAACTTTGAAACAGTGGAGTTACTACCTTGAAAAAGGGAAGACTAGAAGACAGAAGAAGATGGATGGTATAGCATACTTTAAACATAAATATGTAAAAGACTACTGTTACAGGAAAAAAGTAACCTGTATACTGTGACTGAGTGAATATAAGAATAAGAATTATCAAGTTGAGCTGCAACAAGGAAAGCTGAGAAAGCCATAATAAAGTTCTCCTTCTCCACTGGAGGAATTAAGAGCAGATTAAATTGGCATGTCTCAAAAATTATGCTCATATAAACCTCCTTAGGCACAGGTATGGATAAGGTGAATTCTTTACTTTCAGCTCAATCACTGTTAGTAAATGATTTCAAAAGTTTTAGCACAATTATTACATTCTCTTTTATTTATGTTCAACTTATATATGTTCAACATAGCTCAATTCAGTATCTTATTATTAACATCTTATTATTTTCTTATTATCTTATTTATCTTATACATAAGAGTAAATGAATCTTTCAAATACCTGGGTTTCACAGTGAGAAGTATTTTAAAAAACATATATGTATGTAATAATGCTTCTTATACATAGGGGACATATTGAAGTGAGAAATGTAATGTCATGTATGTTGTGTGAGGTGGTTTTTTTTTAATTTTTGTTTTTTTCTTCACCCTCTGCATTTCTTTTATTTTGAGAAAATATAAAATTCTCCCTCCGGGCAGAATTTCCCTCAGTGAAACAAAATTTCAGACTTCTTAATGTTGATGCCCATAAAGAGATTATTTTAATAGGCTCAACTCAGCAGCAATTATTAAATCAGTCTACTTTTCTTTCCAGGTGCTGTACAACGTGTTTGACTCTTTTGTTGCAATAGGTGCTGCGAATGTGACGGGGATTGAATGTCTCAAAGGCATAGGTGTGTAGAAGTGAGCTCTGTATCACACAATTGGTGTATGTATGCAGTATTTAAAAAAATATTATTATTATGCTATTAGAAACTGTTATTTTTCAACCCTTTCCATTATTACTAATATTCACACACCTGTATGGTATAAGCAAATGTCTTAAGGAAATAATTAAATAAATATTCCTCAATATTTGGGAAACTCAATCAGATCTGTTTTCTGTTGAGGAGACTCCACAGATGTGGAGTTCTTTTGTTTTTACCACCAAACCTGACAGCTATATATTTTTTCTTTGTATTTAATAGTATATCCTTAATTTCAGCCTATATTCTCCCTGCATTCCAGGAAAGTCGAGATTGTATACAGGCATTGCAACTCCTTACAACTTATCATCATCAAGTAATGTTTGCCAGTAAACATCAGGAAATTTTGCTTAAAAATTTAGTCACTCTTTCCCATTCCAAGCATTGCATGAAATGAAATTATCTTATGAATAAATGTTTTAATAGTGACTTTGTCATATTCTATAATATGCTTTTGTAAAAACATTTGTTTACAGAACATGGGAAAAAATAGTACAAAGAAATGTAGTAGGTTTGAATAAAAGTAAAGTGGCGAGGCTTAACAGAAGTAGACTTGTTTTTCTACTTGTTTGCTACATTAACATACCAAGTGCTCAAAAGCCTTGAGCCTAGAAATGAATTTGACATGTCCTCCAAATTTTTCGGTGATTCACTGGCCATTTGCTGTCCTCTCTCTGGAAGAGAACTAGTTCAAACCATTATATTTCTATGTTTTAAGCTGTGTTAGGTGTTTTGTTTTGCAGTGTCCTTCTTTGTGGTGAGCCTTGGTGGGACACTGGTTGGCATTTTCTTTGCGTTCCTGCTCTCCCTGGTCAGTCGTTTCACCAAGCACGTGAGGATCATTGAACCTGGATTTGTGTTTGTCATTTCCTACCTGTCCTACCTCACAGCAGAGATGCTTTCACTTTCTGCCATCTTAGCGTAAGTCTCTTTATTACTGCCTCTAAAGGGAATACGGTTTTCAAAAACATTGAAAGGAAAACCTAAATTATATGGGACTATAATATGACTTATGGGAGCTACAGAATACAGCACTCATGAAGTTTGTGCTGGATAATACTATGTTCACACTGCGCTAGATTATAGTTTGTAAATACTGTCATTCAGCCTTGAAAGGGAATGCAAGTTTTCCAGTATCTGCTGAGCAACATGACAACTCCTTTGCAAAACACAGACATCCCTCCTTCCTCTCTTATTAATAATACTTCCAACTTAACAGTTGTCCATTGTTTCCCCCACACTTTGAAACTAAAGCAGTATTTTTCTAAGGCACTCTGTGAATGTCACTATTCTCTGTTCTCTCTCTCTGTCTTGGCTGGCCATTAAGGTTTGCCTAAATGTTACCTGTTTTGGCTTGGGTACCTCTGTGGTCTTTCTTCTCTTTGTCCCCATTGATTCCTGGCATACCTTTCTTCTCAGTTTTGCTTGTCATGTTTGTAGATGATACAAGTAAGTGTATTCAAGTTCTGAAAATCTTTCTGCAAATAGCTAATTAGTTTAAGAAAATGTCTAACATAAACAAGGTTTAAAAATTTGCATTGAAAGCAGTATGGTAATCTGAAGAGCATTGTAATTGCAGTCTATTATGTTATAATGAAATGTTGTCTTCAGGCCACTTGAGGTCACATCAGCATGCATGTTTGAGATCTACTTTTTACCTAGGGTGGACTCCACAAGTCCTCGTGAGTGTATCTTTTCTTAGGAATTAATGACAGGTTTTTATCACTATGTGACAGGCAGATGTAAATAATATTAAATGTTGCAACAGATATTTTCTGAACAATTGCTTCTTTTTCTAGGATAACCTTCTGTGGCATTTGCTGTCAGAAATATGTCAAGGCTAACATATCTGAACAGTCTTCTACAACTGTAAGATATACTATGAAAATGCTGGCCAGTGGAGCAGAAACTATTATCTTCATGTTCCTGGGTATTTCAGCTGTGGATCCAAACATCTGGACTTGGAATACAGCTTTTATTCTGTTGACTCTGGTCTTCATCTCAGTATACAGAGTTATTGGTAAGTGGGTGACATTCCTGTTCTTTCATTGTATTGCTGATGCAATCACATATTCTTTAGCCCTCTCTCCAAAAAGTATTTGGAGTTCTAGATTTGTTCCTTTTAAAACATTCTATTTATTTCAGTTGAATTTATTGTTGGGCTTGGGTTAGAGTAGTAGAGTTAGCTCTACTTAGCTTTACTTAGTAGAGTAAGTTCCGTCATATGCTAAAAATATAGCAGGATTTCATTTTTGATGATGTGTGGGCATATGAGTAGCCCAGCAGTTAAGATGAATCATTCAGTGGCTAACCTTTGTTGACCCAAAAAATGGAATTGGCAATATCTCCCAGTAAAATGGACTTTGTTCTTTAACTTGCAGCCTAACAAAAGATGTGACTCTTGTCAGCCATATCTTTCCTTCAGCTCTTTCAGTTTGGCACTAAAGAGATTGTCTTAAGCTAATGCTATGGTTGACTTCAGGTCTTAGGCACACAGTGATAGCAGACTCGTAATTACACTGAAGGTTCTCTGGCTTAAGAAAAAATTCTCAGGTAGTGATGAAAAAAATGAGCAAATAAAGCTGTGGCAGGTAGGGATTACCTACTGTCAATTCACTGGGTTCATATAAGTTTGCAAACATTTCAAAATACCAGTGATGATTTGCCCAGCTATGTAGTCCTGCTGTAGTTCTGTTAAAATAGCAAAAAAGGTGTAGAATGAAGTACTTGTAGAGAGCAACACATAGACAATTTGGTGTATGCACTTACACCTGGGAATAAGTTAAACTAGCTTATTTGCCCATTTGTCTTGATTTAAATTCAAATGACAGGTCACACATCTATCTAGCTGGCAATTTTCCTAGATTCTGTGTTCTTATTCTGTCTAGAAGCTCCTGATCTGAATGAAGTGCCTAGCTGCTTGCCCTCCTTTTCTAAATAGTCTGCAAGCATTGTTCATTTAGCTGCCTCTCAGTAACTGCTAATGTGCCTGAGGTGTTTAAAAGAGTTTTCCACGTCTTTGTCTTTTACACTTTTTGTATTCCTTGAATGAGTAGTTAACAATCCGGTAATAGATGTGACAAGTAAATAGTAAATATTCAGCAATAACAATACGCACCCACTAAAGGAATTGATCTTAGACATTGACAAATTACTAAATACCTGATGATATTGGGCCTTACATAATTGCAGTTCTTATTCTCTGGAGGAGTCAGATTGGTAGCATTTCCAAGGTCCCCTCCTCCAGAGGCCCTCCTTACAGTGACAAGACACTTCTCTTGGCACAAGTTCAAAGTTCTTTAAAAAGAGAAGAATCTTTTTTGCAGTGGTTAACAGCCCTGGCCTGCTGCAGAGGGACACACATGCAGTGCCAGTCACAGGAGTGGTGAAGCTGTTTTCCCTCTGTATGGGGGGAGTTCTGGGATGCATTGAGACATCTAGAGCCTTAGGTCTCCTGCAGCAGGCAGCATATCACCTGTAGGTCTGAAGAGAGTGTTAGCATAACTAAACAACCCTTCAGAAGACAATTACTTAAATGTCATTTTCAGTGATTTGCAAAAAATATCACACTCCCTAAATCAGTGCTGTTTTAACCCATTTCTGTTAACTGACCCTGTGCATATTACCGCTTACAGTGCTAGAAAATCTGATCTTTCTTAACGAATTTCCAAGGTCAGCACATGGCAGAACTTTCCCTGGAGTGCCTGTGCCAAAGGGCAGCACTCTCAGAAGAGCAGCTGGCTCACAGAAGCAGATTCACCTAATTCCTTTGGCTCGATGTAAAGAGAAGGCACCAAGTGGGCAACACAGTGATAAGAGGCAGAAGCAGATGGTGCAGATTGTTGTAAAGGCAGTCTGGTGGCACCATTTCTGTTACACACAGCTAGGATATTAACATTCCATAAGGATATTTCTAGACAATGCTGACATTTGTTTGTTACAGGTGTCATTATACAGACGTGGATTCTTAACCGCTACAGAACTGTCCAGCTGGAGATAATAGACCAGGTGGTGATGTCCTATGGTGGACTACGAGGAGCAGTTGCTTTTGCTCTTGTTGCACTTCTGGATGGGAATAAAGTGAAAGACAGAAACCTGTTTGTCAGCACAACAATAATTGTTGTGTTTTTTACTGTTATATTCCAGGTAATTTAACTTAAGCACGCTTCTTGCAAGGAGAAGAAGTCCCCCAAAAGTACTGAATGCTTAAAGCAGTTCTCAGCTGAAGGTTGCATATTGTTTCACTGAACTGAAAGCATAATTGAATTTGTAATTTTAGTAACAAAAATCCTATTTTATGTTTTCATGTGGAACCACAGGGGGCAAAACACAATTTCCTCTGTGCTAAAAATTGTTCAGTCTTAGCTGCTTGGTATTAATAGTGCCAAGTTAATATCTGATTAAACATCCTTCACCTCATGTGAATAACTACAGGGAACAGTGCTTTTAATGGGCAGATACAGTCATTAAGCTGATCTACCTGAGCCTCAGTCCTTGCTTTAAAATATAGCAGCAAGCAGTGGGTCAAAAAAGTATCCAACATCCAAACAAAATAGCACTGTCTGGAGGAAAAAACCCTGTAATTTAAATGAAAATATGTCAGTAGATAGCAGCTTGCAATATTTTCTGAAGTGTATTACAGAAAGTTCAGTTGTGTTCACAAACTTCTCCACTATTTGTGGAGAAAATACCACATTCAGTGGCACAGGAAACACTTCTACTCTTCCACTACCATATTTTTCCTATAGGTGGTATATTTTTCCACTGTTGTATTTTCAAACCTCTGTAATAGAAGCTGCGGATACTGCATTATTTTATCTTCTAGAAGGAATACAAATCAACTGAGAAAGTATGAGAATCACCAAATAACACACAAATGTGCTTTATTTCTGTTTAACCAGCTGGAGTAAAGTCTAAGAGGACTTCTAAGTGTTTATTGTCATGTTTCAATCCTTAGGGACTGACTATCAAACCTTTGGTGCAGTGGCTGAAAGTGAAAAAAACTGAACACAGAGAGCCAAAACTGAATGAGAAACTTCATGGCAGAGTAAGATATTTTTTAAAAATTCATGATATCTTTTGGATTTTTACAGAGCACCTTAAGAGAAAACAAAATTGTTAAGTGAAAATGTCTTTTTTTTTTGTAAGAGAGTGAGCTATCAAATTTCAAGATCAAAGTCCTTCAAACATTTCAAAAGTTATTTCTAAGTTGCTGTTTCTCTTTGGTTTGAGTCTTGTGAGAGGATATTCATATGAAAGTTCTGGTCTTTCGCTTCAGAATTCAATGGGGCTGGGAGTACTGGGGAAACAGCACAGATGGAATATGCTTCTTTCTCTTCATCTAGAGAACGATTGATGATTGCTAGAGCAAAGCATGTACAAAAAGATTTAGTTTTCCTTCTCAAAAACCGTTAATTTTTTGAAAAGGTATGAAAGCAGGCTTTGTAGCTTGCATATTACATAGATAGTCTGCTGCCCAATACAGAATAATTATATTCTGAAATTCCAGATTAATAACAACAGTTTTAATTCAGTGTGAATGTTGTGTGTCCCTGTATTTCTTTACCCTTTTAGCATATTTTGAAACACAAACTCTTCCAATTCATTTTCACACCACATTATAAAGTTTTCATTAAGTAAAAGAAAACATAACTTTTCAATATAAATATAGGTTAAAGGATGAAAGACTGTAAGACATCACAGAATAATCAAGGTTGGAAGAGATCTTCAAGAACATCCTGTCCAGCCATCACCACCATAACCACCCCTAAATCATATCCCCAGGTGCCACATCCAGACAGCTCTTGAACACTTCCTGAGACAGTGACTCCACCACCTCCCTGAGCAAATTATTCCAGAGTCTAATCTTATTTTCAGTTAAAACTTTTTTTCTGATATCTAATCTGAGCCTCTCCTGGCACAACTGAGGGTCATTTCCTCTTGTCCTTTCACCTGAGACATGGCAGAACAACCCAACCTCCACTTCACTGCACCCTCCCTCCAGGCAGTTGTAGACAGTGATGAGGTCTCCCCTGAGCCTCCTTTTCTCCAGGTTAAACATCCCAGCTCCCTCAGCCACTCCTCACAGGACATGTCCCAGACACTTCCTCAGTTCTGTTTCCCTCCTCTGGACACACTCCAGCCCCTCAATGTCCTTTCTGAAGTGAGGGGCCCAGAACTGAACACAGGACTAGGGACACAGCCTCACAGTGCCAAATATCAGCCATGCTGTTCCAAAACAAGCACCTGTATATTCTGTAGTAATCAATGCAATGTTGGGACTGAAATGTTAATAACCATATCCAGAAAAAGACCAAATTCTACCTGCAACTTGGTTTCAATCAAGAATTATAAGCCTCCAGATTTCTATCAGCCATCTAATATACTCAGTATGAAATTTTGCCCTAGATATTAAAAAGAATGGTGCCTACTTCTACTCTGAGGAGAATATGAACTCCTGAAACATCTAAAAAGAGTCACTGGGGAAATTGTTCAACTGAAATAATCACCTACACTAATAGTGGCAGATGTACTTCATAGGGCAGAAATGGAGATGGTAAAATGAGTCCAAAAGTTTTTTAAAATTGAGTGTTAAAATGGGGGTTTAAGTACCTTCTCGTTGAGACCCTTGTATTTAAGAATACTTAGTGAATTTATAAAGAACTGGTCAGAAAGTTCAGGGCCTTTGAAAAAAAGCTTATAATAGTTATTACTTATATAAATGGGAAAAAGAAATTTTAACAGCCATAAAATTATTCTGCATAGTCACCTGGTCTAACTCGAAATAAATTGAGCTATTTTCTAATTATGCTTTTTTATTTCTGTAAAGATATTAATTCCACTCTCACTTTCCTAGGCCTTTGATCACATCCTTTCTGCTATAGAAGACATTTCTGGACAAATAGGGCATCATTATCTGAGAGACAAGTAAGTAGTAACCAATTTAGAATCTGTACATTATAACTTTTTAAGTCTGTGAGCCTAGGGAAAGCAAGGATGCTAAATGTAGTTAAAGAGGTTACATATTGAAAATACTGGAAATACAGCAAATGGCAAAATAGTGCATTTTTGTCCCCTTAAAAACAGAGTCTTTCTCTTCTCTTCCACAGTTCAAATTATGCCTTTGCAGGCGCCTCAGTTCACATACAGGGCTTGTTCTCTCAAGATTAGAGAACAGACTATTTGAGAAGTTTTCACCTAGAATGTTAATGTGGATTTTTCTTTGCAATATTACATTTCATGAACACTGTTTATGTGTGGAGGCACTAAAAAAACCTCAGCTACAACTATGCTAGCTGTTTATCCCATCTCTACAAGGATGTATTCAACACCTCTGAAAGTTATGGCAGAGGGTGCTCTGAAATTGCTCTGACTGTTTGCTTATTAGTCTGAAACCATCCCCTCTGTTTATAGTTGATTCATCTTGAGAGAAGCAGAATTACTCAGCTGAAAGATAAGCCATTTCCTGTAAAGTACATGTGCAATGTTACCCTTGTGATGGACACACTTCCATACCTCGATGAATAAATGTGGAAAAAAGGACATAAAATCTGGACATCCTTTAGAGTGTTATTTCAAGTTAGGTCATTCTCTCCCTGGAGTCAAGTCATTTCATAGGTGCAAACAGTCACAGTTTTGACCTGCTGACCTCCTGCTGACTCAACATGCCAATTCCAATCCAAAAGCCATGTGGTTGTGTTAGCTTTCTGCAGAGCACACCCCTAATGCTTTCTGAAGAAGCTGAGTCTGTTAGCTTAGGTTTAGCATTATCATGCAAAACAATACAATTCCTAGGCTGAAGCTAGCCTATACTGGAACTCAAGCAGAATTTCTCACCTGCATCCAGTCATAGAGACAATTTCCTTCCTTTCCTTTTGCTCTTCATTCATGTATGCAGTGAAGAATTTTCCTGAGGCACTGCAGACAAAACACCTTCTTTCTTTCGGTCTAAGTTTGTAGTTTACTATTTGGGAATAAATTTCAGTAGGCTATATATAATATCGGCAAATACATCTCCACTTTTGATATATTGCCTCAAAGATGGAGCTATATTTTTAAAGTGGCAGATTAGCATGGGACTTCTTGCATGTCAGAAAGTAATCCCCTTGAGTAAAAACTGAAGGAACAGCTTAATATAGATTCGTGGTTGAGTATGTGGTTTGATGACTAGCGTGCTTTGAATGAGATCATCTTAAACCTGCCTTTTGGACTCTATGTACATGAAAGTGCTGCTTCCATAAAGAAATGGAAACCCTAGCATCCTCACTGATGTGTTCAGGTGTGGCAGCCTGAATTAGAACCTCCTGGTCAGATGTTCTGGCAAGAGAAGAGGAATAATCATCAATAATGTGAATAATATTTAACACAAAAATGTTCAAGAAATCTGAATCAAAAGCTGCAAACTCAAAATGGCCATTGAGCAAGATGGATACAGTCATTCTGAGCAACAGTCTCCAAAGATGCCTCATGCCCTTTAGATGAAGTGTTGAGGAAGTTAGAAGAAAGTACAATAGCCTTTTATCTTTTGGACCCTCAACATGACAGATACGTTACTATCAGACAATCTTGGAAGAGTAAATAATTTAAAACACACATGGCTACTATCCCCAGAGCAGAGTACATCAGTGGCATGAATAAGACCCTGGTAGAGCTTCTGGAAGGGCACTGTTACTCTGAATTGATTTTCTGGTCTGGCTGTCCTACAATACACCTGGGGAAAAGCAGATTACTTTTCCAACAAGAGAAGAAAATTAAACATAATCAGAAGTAGAAAAATAAGGTAGCATGATCTCCCAAAGTATAAAATGTGTTACTGACTCTGAAATGGGATACAATGTAATCATAGCACTCTTGAAGTAGTGTTGGGTGAGTGAACTGATTAAATGTATTGTGACAGCTGCATAAGTCTGTAGCAGGCTTTTCCTTGACTTTCTTTATATGCTAATTGAAAAGCTTCAAGATACAAATCCCTCACATTCCACTGTTCACCCTTTCTTTCAAAGTGTTTTGCTCAAAAAATATAATTTATGCTAAATTAAAAATGCTTTGAAACTAAAAATGCTTGTTGCCATTAACACAGTTTGTTTAAATTATCAGGTGGTCCAATTTTGATAGGAAATTCCTCAGAAAAATACTGATGAGAAGGTCTGCTCAAAAATCAAGAGACCAAATCCTTAATGTTTTCCATGAGCTCAACCTGAAGGATGCAATTAGCTATGTGGCTGAGGTACTTATGAACATTTGTTGACATATTAGAGCATCACTTGGAAATTGATTTTTTAACGTTTATACTATAGTGTAAAGTTGATATATTGCAAGAGAAGCCTAAAGGAAAATGATTTCCATGTCAGCTCTGTTTTTCTTTTTTTTTTTTTTTTTTTTTAAATGTGCTTTGAGTATTGGTGTTGCTGGTTTGAGAAGCTGTAGCTCTCAATATTGCGCCTGATCACCAAATACCAGTGTATTGTACTTACGTCACTGTACATTTCTGTTGCATTTTACTGAATATCTTTGTTTCTATGTTCATTACATGAAAAAAATGCTGTAATTCTGGAGGGGTGTTGTCTTTATAAATGTGTCAACAGGGTCTGGCTCCTGCAGGATAGTGGTTCTATGTGATGACAAATCTGATTTGAAGAAGCTCATTTACAATTGATGTGCATGTGTGGCCAAAATATGGGTCTGCTAATCTCAATCTGCCAGATAATTGTAACATGCAATATTAAAAAAAAAAAAAAAAAAAAGTAACTTTAATTCAATGGAATCATAACCCCCATGATTCAATAATTAGGATGAAATATACTACAAGTATCAATTGCAATCAAAGAATTGTGAAATAGGGAAACTTAAGACTTGCAACAGGAGAAATTTTTAAAGGAGATTTGAAGAAAGTTTCTGACCTTCTGCAGGAGTACTGCAGCAATGTTGCCTGATTGTGTAAGAATTCCTAATCTTCTTCAGTATGAAACTAGTCACCTTAGTTCAAACAGCCAGAATGCACAGCGTAAAGGATAATTTTAAATGTAATATTTTTAAAAGTGGTCTTCAAAATCATAATCTGTTCCTGCCCATAATCTCCAATTCAATTAATTTCCACAGTTAGGTTATATATGAGTTAATTTCTAAAAATTATTACTATGATTGATACTGCTACTACTACTGCTAAGCTTCTTCTTTTTTTTTTGAAAATGAGCTACAGCCAGGCAGTCTTCTTCTAATTAAACATATAATTTTGAGGATTGAATTCAGAAAACAAGATGAAATCCAGAAATTATGTTAGTATGGAAAATGGAGAATAGTTCACAAGACAAGCAAATTCTTCCTTTTGAGATTTCGTAAATTATCCATTTGGTTTTTAGACCATCTGAGCTCAAGAACTAATTTTCTTTATTGTGATACTTTCTGGGTCACACCTCAGAGGAAGAAAGTTGGATAATGACTTTGAGGTGGATGACCATGAAACTCATGTTCAGATTCATTGCTGAATCTGTTCAGTAGATTCATTACAGTGTTTCTTCTCTTTAACAGAAGCAAAAGGTTTTATAGATCACTGACACATGTAGATTTAAGGTCAGATTTTTTTACTCAATAATGTCTTTGATCCCATATGGTAAAGACAGATTACTAAATGTTAGATTAATAATTTTTTAGGAGACAAAACACACGGTAACTGCTTTTTGTTACTTTAGTGCAAATGTTATTTGTGTATATTGTTTCTTGCAGATAAATTCTATTGGGCAAATGTCTACTGATTTGATAATAGAAAAAGAAATAGAAAGTTCTCCAAGTTCTACAGAAATTTTGCAAGACATTTTCTTCCAGCAGAAATTAATTATGACTTGTGAATCCTAAAGTCATTTTGCCTTTCTCACCTTAATGATACACTGCTTTAACAACTTTTTCTTCACTTTTCACATTGAACTAAATATTGCAATTACAAGCTGACATTGAAATTAAAGCCATTTCTTCCAGGACAAGTAAAGACCTGCCTCCCCCAGCTACTCTCCTCTTACTTGCAAGAAATGGAGGAGTTTAAAAATTATTTTCTTTTTTTAAATTATTATCTTTTTCTTTATTCAACTCTGCTGCTATCCTGCATCTATATAATAAATAAGAGTTGAGAGATTTCAGTCTCAATCTAAGTAAATTCCTTACAATTGAGAAGAGAGAACCTAAGCCAAGAAAAATGAAAATAATCCCGAGCAACTGAAGGAAAGTGACTTAAAATATTCAGGGTTCATAACTTGTTCTAGATAAAATTCTTTCACTGATGATATTGTATGATGCATATGTGAACCATTCAACTTGACTTGAAAAGAAAGTCACATTCACTTAAGAAAATGGATGGGATGATGTTCTCCCAGAATTCAATTTTATTAACTTCAAATTTTCTGCCTGCAGAGGCCAAAGTGTATTTCTTAATGTCATTGGTAACCCACATACGTATGTAATACATATGTGGGCTACCACAGCAAAAGAAAACATTGATTTGTTTTTTTCCATGAATATGAAAATGTAAAGGGAACCCAGTGCAGTTAAAGTTGAAGAAAGGTAGATAAAATCTGTTCTGCAAGGGAGATGATTTTTCTTGATTATTACTGTTTAAAATCTAGAGAACTGCTATGTGATTTCTCCCCACTGTGATTCAAAACCGTAGATGGTTTCAGCCAGTGTAACCACAATGTCACTCAACAGATACCTTTTAGCTAAGCAAGAGATTACTTAAGGTGTAGGGAAAAGTATGAAAACATAAAACTGAGCTTTTCCAGCAGTTCACTTCTGTGACACTAGTTTTAAAACTGAAAAAAAAAAATCTCATCTCTTCAATATTTCATCTTGTCATGCCATAACCTAATAGTCTTATAGACTTCTATCACCACTTATTATTTGTTGCTTCCAGTCTGGTAGAGAACAGAAAATTTAGTGTTGGGTCTTTGAAAATGCTACTGATAGTGTAGTGATGTGTTGATACATGAACAACTGTATGTATATCCCTATGCTCTTGGCTTGCAACATTGTGCAAAGCAAAATTGCGAATCTATTGAGGCACAGGAAATCATTAATCTCTTCAAAATCAGTTTCTGAGAGTGGAATAGAATTTCTCATTGCTTTGTTTGTTGGAATAATGTCACTCAACATAAAGAAACCATAAAACCAAAAAACAGTTTTTATTTGTTACCTAGATACAACTCCTTGCATACTTCTTGTGCCATTTGCATAAATACAGTCTCACAAATTGTCTGTATTCTGTTACAGCTGTAATATGTCTTGTTTCTTTCTATCACAGGGAGAACGTAGAGGTTCACTGGCGTTTATACGTTCTCCAAGTACAGACAACATGGTAAATGTGGATTTCAGCACTCCACTCCCAAGCACTGTGGAAAGCTCTGTCTCGTATTTATTGTAAGTAATGTGGACTGACAGGGTGGCATATGAGAGGAAATTGAAACTGCTAAAAGGAATTGTAAAATGCAAATTACAGGGGTTTCAGTCACCGCTTTTTTGAACTTTAATTAATATTTTCTCCCACAGAAAATAGGTATCTATGGATTTATATGTTGCATTTTACACACAGATTTTTTTCAGTAAAGGTTAGTAAGATGAAACAGACATCCACATTAGAGTTGTTTCATTTGCCTCTGGTTCACCAACTGGTACATACAGGGCTAGATGTTATTTCTGTGTTTGCTCCAGAAAAAGTAAGGAGAGAGCTGAGGAAAAATTTGCCCCGTCTTTAACTTTTGAATCTATCACTGAACAGACCATCTATCATGTAAACTATGAAATTAATTAATGCTACATCCTCCTGAAAGACAAAAACCAATGATCTTTTCACATTTCCCATTAGGCATTTACTCACCCATTGTCATTTAGCCAGTTCTTACTCTTCTTTTTTTTTCTTTTTTTTTTTTTTTTTTTCCCCTCTTCAGCAATCACTGATTTTAAAAACAGCAGTTTGTGTTTTTCTTCAGGAGAGAAAAAGCTGGACCTGTTTGCCTTGACATGCAAGCTTTAGAGCAGAGGAGGAAAAGTATCCGGGACACAGAAGATACCCTGGCTCATCACACCCTACAACAGTACCTGTATAAACCCAGGCAGGAGGTGAGAGCAAGAGGCTAGCATTGGACTGTTTTCCAATCTAAAACTAAGAGGAAATAGGAACCAAAACTCGCAGGTGAAACCCAAAAGGAGAGAACCCACTGCAAAATCCACACTGTTGAGGAAGACTGGCTCTGTGTGATTTCTCATTTAAGAACATGGCTTTTTAAAAGAACCAGTGCCTTTGAAATCACTGGGGCCAGTGGAATACAGAACTGTGTCCAGCAAAGGTTCTGAGGAGGATTAAATAAAGTGTATCAACAGAAGTGATTCAGACACTTACAGGGAGAGGCTTACTTTGAATGACTCTTATACACTTAAAATTCCTAGACTTTTTTCATGAAGAAAAAAAAAGGGAATTTCATTAATGCCTTCAGACTAGTCTTTAGTTCATTCTTTCTTATGGAGTTGTTTACATTTTCGTGACACTGATTGAATGCATTGATTCAGGGCTTTCATCTGTATTTCTAAGTAAATGAATATTGTCTTCCCTTCCTGGCCACAGCACAAACACCTGTACAGTCGACATGAGATCATGCACAGTGAAGATGACAAACAAGACAAGGAGATTTTCCATAGGACAATGAGGAAGCGCTTAGAATCTTTCAAGAGTACCAAACTAGGAATAAACCATTCCAAGAAGCTCAATAAAATCCACAAACGAGACCGGGGCCAAAAAAGGGTAAAAATACTTTCACAAGGACCCAGATGTAGCCACCTATTATACAAACTAATGACTGGGAAGGGTAGGGAGGACTCTGAAGGGTCCTATATCCTGCATTTATCTCTGTCCTATAGAACTCCATGAATTTAGAGGACCTAATTAAGAAGAGATTAATCTAGGAGGTTTAAACTCAAGGGGCTTCTTCTCACATTCTGCACTTCTCTATGCTTTGGGACTCTTCTTCTGGGTGAGAGATTTCTGATCTCTTGGCAAACAATAGACTCTGAACATGCTACTACACTGTGGGGAGATTTTGCAGGATAGAGGTAGCAGGATAACTCTATACCATGGAGTATTCAACCAAATTTGTGTGAAACTAAGAGGGAACACGCACCTTTAAAAGACCCAAAGTTTCCTTTTTTACCCTGTCTGTACACACTTCAAGTGTAGGTGGGAAATTAGTGGCATCCATATTGAGTCTGAAACAATGACTACAATGGATTTCAGTGTTATTCTGCTGGACTCATCATTTCAAAGGGTGTCACTGCCATTGCTATCTGATGATATTAGCATTTTTGGTCACTTTTTGCTTTCTTTTCAGAGAAATAGCAGTGTCATACCAAATGGAAACATTCCTCCAGAAAATCCAGTACAAGATTTTACTTTGAAGGAAAAAGGTAAAAAAAGACTCTTAGACTGTTTTCACTAACTGAATTTTACCAGTTACATTGCCAGTAAAGCATCACTAAAAGATCTTGTGACATGCCATAGCAAATCTGATAATAAAAAGAGACTTCTAGTGGTAGTTCAGAACTTGGAGTGGTGGTCTGTTTCATGCTTAAATGCAGCGTTTAGAAGTGTTTTTTTAGGAATCTGGATGACAAACAAAATTTTAATTGGCCTTTTTGCTCACAGTTTAAAAGTATCACATCTATATTTTGTAAACAAAACAATGCAGTGGCTACAATATAAATGAACTTTCAGCTGCTGTTTGGATAAGGTGCACAGAGCTGCTAACTATTTTTCATCACAGCAGGATATGTCTACCTAAGACATCAGCCATATAGAATTCAGTAGCTGAGATGACATTCTTGAGGCTAAGCAAGCATGATATAATTCAAGGAGGGAGTAGCTTTGGGAGGAACACATAGTCAGAGGTCAGTTCCAGCACTGATTCACCCTTCATGAACAGATCTATCACATGGGTCAGGCTTGGAAGTGTAATTGGAAGCTGACCAGCCTGGGAACTATTCCTAGCAAAAGCTGGTTGTGCATATAAAGGCCCAAATTCTTTCCCATTAGCCACTGGCCAATGGTCTTAGCCACTTTTTTGGGCATTGGTGTCAGGCATGGAAAGATGTGATGGGTGCTAACATGTTTGTTACACAATTGTAAAATAATAAATGTCACTTCAAAACTGAAATGTGGTTAAAAGCCACTGAACTAACTTCCGATTTGTGTTCTTCCCTCTGTTTATGCCTGAAACTCCTTGATCTCAAAGACAACTCAAGCAAAATAGAGAGGGATTCATCTTTTCTCAGTATCTCCAAGCAAACATATTTTTCCTTATACATCTTCATTGAATCATTTACTGAGGGTTATTTTTGTTTGACTGAGGGGAGCAGTACAGGCTGGCTCCCCAAGTGTAACAATCTAGAACTACTTTGCTTGGGAAGACCTTTCTGAATACTCATTAGTAGGTCATTCAATATTGTCTTATTAAAGAACTCTGCATATAGATGTCATCATCTACTTCAAAACCAGAAGAGTTTAATTGGAAGGCAGTTTTAACAAGTGGTTTAGCAGCTATTGCAAAACTTATTCTACTGCAGTAAAAGCAGCAATGACCTCATTAGGTTTGAAACTAGTCATTACACTAATGCCAACCTGTGTCAAGTGATGAAAATCCTTGTTAAAGATGTATTTTTGATAACCATGACATCATCAAACCAGCAGGAAATAGCATTTTCTATCAGAACTGATACAAGTCTCTAATGAAATTACACTTTCTTTTTTTCCCTCCTAGATTTGGAGTTTTCTGAGTCAGAAGAAAATAATGATTATGAGACTTTGCATCTAGGCAAAGGAGTTGATTTCCTGGCTAATGTGACGAAACAAAATTTCACAGATACTCCTGCTGGTAAAAATATTTATTACCTACAACTTTTTTTTTTGTTCCTCAAATATAACAAAACATACTAGAAATGCTGATAAGTTAGCTTTTTTTTTTGTTGTTTTGTTTTTTGTTTAATTGCGTGATTTTATGTGTTCAATATGAAAATACATTTGCTTAATATTAATGTTAACATAAAGATTTTAGGATATTTGGAGGTATGGAGACCATCACATTTGAAACTGACAGCAGTTGTGAACATGACTACCTAAACCAGTTTTAAAGCCACTAATTATTTCTAGCACAGTAAACGTTATTCTAGAATTGTTTTACCTCACAAGACCAGTCCTCTGGAATTGTTTTTCACTTGCATTGGGACTTCGTTGTGAATAATTTTGTTCTTCTTATTTCAGGCAAGATTTCTCCTTTTATATTCACAATCCCATCAGATCCTTACAGGCTTATAGAATTCACTGGAAAGGGCAGATTTGCAGCATTTCAGGAGCACTCAATGCCCTTGATTTCCAGCCCTGAAAGACTCCAAAATATCAGATTGGAAGCTTATAACTATATAGAACAGAAACCATATCATAAGACTTATGGAGTATTTCTCTTTAGCACTTTTGTGTTTAAATTTTTTCAGCATGCCACTGTTTGCTTCATGTGTAACTGGTGCCTGCAGTGAAGAAAAACGCTTGTGCTCATACTCTTGTGGCAGACACCCTTAAATGCAGTTTACGTGTGACACTGTTTCATGACAAATTCTATGTTTAAGTATGTATAAAGACACCCACAAATAAGTGGATGGCAAGATGCAAAATGTTTTGTAAAAGCTTGTCTAACTTGATAACTGTATGAACAGGCTCCAGTATGTTACTTTTGACTGGCCTGCCATAGCTACCTCACACGCATCTGTTTATGGAATGGTGAAGTTTTTTTTTTTTTTTCGCATTTTTTCCCATATCTTATTTATTTTTTAGGGATTTGATTTTAATTTTCTGCAGTTATTTTATGCTGTGCTTTTTTTTTTTTTCATTGCTTAACACCTGTGGACTGGTTATTTTATTGATTTTATTTTTTGTCTCAAGATATCCCTAACATAATTGCAAATTTGACGTCACAACCAATTTTTCTTTTTAATTGAAATCCAATACATGCCTAACAATCACCAAGGTGTATGTGTGTGTAATGGTCTGTATATTGGCTTAGTCACACCCATACCAGTGCATCTGCCTATTTTTTCCAAAAGCCTTTCCCCCTTTATAAGGCATCTTACTGCATTATCAAGAAATTATTTTAATCACTTTTATTTGTCACTCGCGAATTCTTTTTTTAGGAATTGATAACCCAGTATTTTCAGCTGACGATGACCAAAGCGTCTACATGAAGTTCTCACCATGGTTATCTAGTGAAGACACTGTGGTACCATCACAAAGGGCCCGAGTGCAGATCCCATACTCTCCAGACAACTTCAGACGGCTCACTCCAATCCGGCTCAGCAATAAATCAACAGATTCCTTCCTGCTAGCAGATGGCCCAGAGGACCGACCCAGATCTTTTCTCCCAGAATCAACACATATGTAATATTTTAAAAGATATTACCACCTTTACTTTTTAACCAGACTTCTTATCAATTCTGAGAAGTAAACTTATTTTTCTGTTTTTTCTTCTTTCAGAAAATCTCCTTCTTTCCTGATTTCTTTGTACAACTAAGCATCTTTTATTTCCCTCCAACTTAATTAACAAAATGTTTTCCTATTTTCCTTTTGCAGAAGAGCTGTTCAACTATTTGGGGTCCAATGTCTTGCTACTTTTACAGCAGATAAGGGTCCTTCTCTTTGTTTTCACTTGAATATTTTAAATGCCAAGAAAATAGTATTCCAAGTACCAGAATATTGGGCATACATTTTCAAGAGGCTTCAGGTTTCCTGGTTAGTCAGTCCTAGATGATAAAATTGGTATCTGAATTCCCTAAAAGGAATAAATTTTTTTTACTCTCTTGCTAAGAAGCCTTGAGTTAGCTGTGAACTTTTGTCCAGATTACTTATCCAGTGTCCAGGAAGCAAAAAAAGCCCCACAGCTACAATACAACTATTCAGTGACACTACTGATGTATCATTAAATTACATAAGAAAGGTGTTTAAAATTAATCATATTTACTAAAATGTGGTGGAATCTCCTTGTGGGGATAATTATGCAACAGAATTGTGGAGAAGCAGAATTTCATTTAGACCTTTATCCTAAAATTGTGAATCTTAATCCTTACCTTATTTTGAAACTAGAAGAAGGCTTAGCTTTCTTCTTGCAGCAAATAACTTGTTGCTTCTAATGTGTTAGAAGCTTAAAACTAAATTGACTCTGGGTTTAAACTAATATCCCAGTTGCCCTTTAACTTCTGCTGTGTGGAAATTTTCCACACCATAAAATCGGCCTTCATTTTTATAGTCAAGTCAGGCAGTGCTTCAAATGAGGTGAGTCAGGTCCACAGTTCAGATATTATAATTGAATAGAACACAGGGCACTGCAGGGATTGTGCAACGAAATGCAAAAGTCAGTGTCACCGTGAATACACTCTTCTGGAATCCATGGTCACAAATGTACGTCTTAGTGTCCTCTGTGCATCAACAGAAAAAGCAAGCTGAAAGTATTCTGTAGTTGGTTGATGAAACTTTGTTCAGACAAACACCTCAAGCTAAGAGTGAATATTGCTAATTTTGATATAAGAAGAATTTCACAACCCCTTGAGAAGAAATAGAAAAGGAAGTTCCATTTTTCTTCTGTTCTGGCTTCTGTCCCTTCAGAAGATGTGCTAGTTCAATTTAGAGGAAGCACATCACTTTCCTTCTGGAGTGGCCTGTAGGTCTGTGTTTGGTTTCAGTACTCAATTCCTTAATAATGCATCTTTGTTTATTTTTAAATGATGTTTTAAAATAAACATTGGGTTAGTTAAAGGACCGTGAATTACAGCCCAATATCCTGATTAAGAGTGTGAACAATGAATAGCGTTCCAAAAGGAAAATTTCACCTTGACACTTATGCACATTGAAATTCTCTTCACTTTTTGTCCCCAATGAGAACAGTGTCACAGAATATTGACGTATGACCTGCAGAACATTTTCTTGCTAGCCTTTGTTCTTTTCCTCCATTTAATTGCTTTATTTATAATTCACTTAATTATTAGGAAGTGGTATGTGTAAGTTCATTTGTGGGTATCTTTGATATGTCAAAATCACTAGATCTTTGACTGCTGTATTTCTTAGTAAGTGTTTTGCAAAGTTAGATTTCCCAAGCTAATAAGCATACACCTTGATTACTGTCTGAAACAGTCCTCTGAATGATCTCCTTAACAAAATTCTCCCAATAAGAAAATGATACTAAAATTTCAATTAATAGGTTTTAAAAAACAATGGAAACTGGAAGCCAAGAGTGGAAATGTTAAGTTTCTCTACATACCTAATATACACAGAAAACTGATCATAAGTTCTCATCAATAAGAAATTGACTCCCTGGAGTCAAACTCTCTGCTATTTAATTGAAAGAGTACAATTTGTTTCAAAAATTTCTGAAATATTTCCTTGCTGAGCCTCAGGACTGTTTCAAGATAAAGATACACCTTAGTGACCAGATGATGGCTCCATCTCCTAACTATCTGAAACAGGCAGTTCATCCTAAACACTGAGCTAACTTTGCCAGACATTCAGCAAGGATAAGATTCTTAATTAACTCATTTCAGGTTGTCCAAGATAGAATTTCATACAGAGTAGAGTTCTTCAGGAAAAAAAATCTTAAACCACTCACTTTCATAAGACTTTCATAAAAATAGCCAAAAGCAAAGCCAATAGCCAGTATACCAACAGATAAAGTGTGTACAAATAGAAAACAAATGTTTCTATTTAATTGTGTTCTCTAGGTGATATGGACCATGACGTTGAAATGACAGAATACTCCTCTTCAGATGATCAACTAAACCAAAATGGAAGTGTTTCAGTGAATCCCCTCCACTTCTTCCCCTCTTGTCTTCAAATGCCTTGGACACAAAACTATTCTTCGTTGGAAAACAGAGGGAATATATCTCTTTCTGCTGTCTCTGAGTACATTGCTTCCTGTGACCCAAATGTACCTGATCTTTTCTGGGAATCAGGTACAGATATGAATAACAAAGAGACAGTAAACTCAGGTTATTGCTCTGAAGTTAGCTTCAAGTCAGAGAATTCACAGGAAGAGAATACTCTGCTTATGTTTGAAGGGCTGGAAGACTCTTACATAAAGGACCCCCAAGAGAAGAAAATGTTGCTTGATGTAGAAGGGAATTACAGGTCTGCTGCAGCCAGACGTGTACAAAGCCGACGTTCTTTCCACAGGCCAAAACCTCTGCATCACCCTAAGCTTCAGAAGCTGGCATCTCTTCCAGCATCTTGCCATGTCCCTCCACATTCCTTGGAACAGGAAGAAACACAGTTGTGAGCCAGGACTTAATTGAAAGAAGAAGATGAACAAAGGGCTTTTATAAAAATAGAGAGCAACCTATTGGTTCATGGGATCTGCTCTAGGATGGATTCAGATGGAAAGGGAGTGGGGTCCTGGATGTCAGAAGCACTGGAGCTTTTCTGCTGCACTTACATTTTTAAGTTCCTATTCATAATGAAAGGGTGCATAGTGAGAGGGAACTATGACTCCTTGTTATTTTTTCATGTAGACTGTTACAAATATTCTATTATTTTTGGAGGGCTAAACCATGAATCTTTTCAAATGGTAAATCCTTGGTGTTTTTTTACATGGATATGGTTTATTATGCCATTATGCCATAAATACATTTAAAGGAATAGGCTGCATTTGCTGCTTCAGTAATGGAATTAAGTATTTATGCTATATGAAATTAAAGTAGGAGAAGCCAACGGTTAGCCTCATCCCTGCTAAGTCTACTCTGATTGAAATGGATCAGTGCCTTTTACAAGTGCAAGCTAAAGAAAAATATTTTCCTGCTGTTGAATATTTGTGTCACTGAGTAATTGTGGAATATTGACTCTTGTGTAAAACTTTCCAGGGAGAGGAAAGTCTTGGCATCTTGAAATTTAATCCAGGACTTCAGGAGGGCCATTTCCTTCCTTCACTTTCACTCCCTCAACTCAGTAGCACTGGAATGAAAGAACATCCAGAATTAGCTCAGAATTTTAATTTGCGTGGTCACAAGCAATTAATTTCATACTCTTAATTAAGCTGCTGTATTTTAAATAGCCTCACTCAGACAGAAGTGTAAATATTTGTCATTTTTACTGCTGCTTTGGAAGACACCTTCCAAATACTGTTAGATTATCCTGTTAATTTATGTATCACTTTCAATAGCTGATTGGGATAGTGGTCTCTCAGATGGTGTTCTGTATTTTGCCACATGGTTTAAGTGCCACAAAGACTCAGGATGTTGATGGATCAAAGTACTGTACAGAGGCAGTTTGGCTACTGTGCATGTATATACCTACTTGTATTAGGAATGTCCTCTTTTTTTTGTCAGTGGTTTTCTGTCAAACGATAGTTATGATTGCACTAGTCACTTACTGCATATGAATTAGACCTACATCACCCTGAAGACATCTGGAGACATCAGTGAAAGCCAGATGAAGAACAGTGAAAGTTCAGATGAAGAACTAAATAAAAGTGAAAACTCTGAGACCTGTCATAGATGTATAATACTACATGCCTGGTATGTAATCCTCTGGCCATTCAGCCTTAGGTGATTCCAGTCCTGAAATTTTGGCTTGAAATCTTCAGTGGTATAAACTGTAAAGGTTCTATGACATTAATAGAGGGAGAGTGTTTTGCCACTTCTGTGATGCTAATGTGTTCCTACTTTCTATTTGATATCAGTGTAAAACATTTGTAAATGAGCTGTCACCTTCAGGGAGGCATGTGAATTGTTTAAGACTGAATTCTGGACAGTGGCTTTATGTGGTAAATTTTACTTTATCTGTGGGAATTAATGATTGTTTCTCTACCTACCCAGATTTTGAGGGGGTCTGAGATGATTCTGTGTCAGATATCAAAATTGAGATTTACCCAAGTGTGAAAACTTATGCCCATATCTTTTCTCCATCTTTGTCCTGGATGCTAAAACTGTATGTTAGGTTGGTGCAAGTTGCAGAGATATGATGGCAAATACCATATACAAACCTAAACAGATACAAAACACACACCTCTAGGGACTAGATTCAGAGAAGTGGTTGTTTTGGTTCTCAACCCACAAGCAGCTGCTTGTTTGGCTTCCATCCTGAGCAATGATTCAAATCAGTGTCCCTAACTGGAAAGCTTCATCACTCAGAGCTAGTCTTGTTAAAATTCAATTATGTAAATACAATTTTTGTGAAACCAAGTAAATGTGAACATACTATTTTGATGAAGTAGAGCATATTAATGCTGTTCTAGATATTATAACTGGAACAAGTATTTTAGTAATTGGGCATAGATATGTAACAGGACCATGACTGATCCCAAATGTTAGTACAGGTAAAGTGCAATGTGCCAAAATCTCCCATTCTATCTCATAGCATGATACTGAAGTACCAACACTAAAATGGGCAAGATGCTCATGAGGTGTTGGCTTTGAAGTAGAACTTTCATTTCTTACTGGTGTCGTACAGAGGTCGTTGCTGTGCTGCAAGTCAGAAAGAGAGCCACACTGTGAACTGCTTTCTGCATTCTTGTTATTGTTAGACCATTACCAATCTGCTTTTGTACAGGCTACCTCAAGGAAACATTTGTGAATTGTCATCAGCAGATGGGAGTTTTCACCACATAAATGTTGCACAGGCAAGAGTAAGCAATTTTGAAAAACACGGGATATGTTTTTATTGTTCTTGTAAGCTTTTAGGCTAAAGAAAAGAGGCTCCATAGATATCACCACATTTACAAACACAGCAGTTTCTGTGGAAAGTCAGCAGGACCCTGTATGTTTTTGAGAAGGCTGTGGGCTTAAGTATTCTAAAACAGAGAGGAACATCACCCCATTTCAAACAACACGAATGGAAAGACACTATATACAAGGGCTTACTTCTCTGTTTCAAAGGCCTTAGGCTTTTTCTATGTTGCATCACTACAGCTGAACAAATGAAGGCTAAAAAGGGCCATTCTGATAGTGAAGAGACCTTTCCCTGGAATATCTCGCATAATTCCTGAAGCTCTTATGTCCCGGAAGAGGTTTTCTAGTGGAATTGAGTCTACAGCAAGGTTTTGTTTGTTGTAATTTCTCAGTTTGAAATGTGATGAAAAAGACTTTAGTGTCCTCAGTTTCCACATTTGAGAATGCACCCATAGCTATAAAATAGTGGATTATAGTTTCTTCTTTTATCAAGGGCAATTAATAAATAGACACTCCCAGTATCTACCAGGGTAAATACAAAAACTGCAGGTGATAACAGTTGATCATTTGTTGTACTTTTTTCTTTTTTTGCATACTCTTTCATTGTACATTTGCATTTCCTGTGGTATGTGTACCTGTGGGTGAAAGTGCTTCAGTACACTTTAATTAGTCAAGCACCAGTAATTTCTATCACAGCAATATAAATTCAGAGCTGCTGATGATATGGCTGTAAGTATCAGCTTTTTTTGCCCTTATTTATTAAACTGGAATGATCAGTTGACAACTCATTCACCTCTGATGAGGCCAGTTCAGTTCTTACTTCCCTGAAAACTTTGTCTCTAAATTTTTTTGGCGACATGCTCTGTCCGATAAAGATAAATTGGACATTCCACAGTTGCTATTTATTTAATAAGTAACTATGACCTACCTTGTTGCAAAAAGATAATGAAGAAATATTTTATGTTCCTTCTACATATTTTGCTCCATGAATAAAGTTCTTTTTAACAATGTTCATTATGCTGCACTACGATCTAGCAATGTTAAAAAAACCCAGAAGTGCTGCCTGCATTGAGATGAATTCTGTCTCTCTGACCTGTGAACCTAGTTATTGAAATATATGAAATTATGTTTTACAAATACATAGTCTAGTCAGAGATTTATGTAACAAAGGTTGCAAAACAATCACGTGCCTTAAATTGTCACTCTTTAGAGTGCTGTTGTTCAGAGATACTTGTGTGTACTTTCCAAAAGGTGTCAATTTACTTCATATATTTTTAAACAAGTCAAGTTGTTCTGCTAATGTCTTTATAGAAATGTTTTAATAGTATATCATAATGAGAAGTTTGGCAATAAATCGTATCACTTTGGTGGAATCACACTGCTTTGGCAAGTGATTTAGAGAATAATTTATTTATTACACTTAAAAAATACTTTGCATTCAAGACTTCTGAGATGTATTTCTGCTCCCAAATCAAAGTTAAAAAAGACAATAGAGTGCTGCTGATAATTCACGTCTTTTATAAAACGCAAGTCATTAAAAGCAGCAACTAAACTGGTAGATTTCCCGAGGCTCATTCTGACATCTATAACACTTTTTGTACAGTTCTAGCCCTGCTGTAATCAATGACAGAATTCCAATTGACTTTATAAGTATTGTATTTCCATCCATAGAGCACAAAGGGCACATATTTTGTCAAGTTATATACAGAGATGTAATCATAACAATTACTTATAATTTAAATTTTACATAAATAACATACAGCATCTCATAATGCACCTGGATCGGGACAATTCAACATCATAGAAGCAAAGATCTGACCAGTCTTAGAAAATGATTTCATCAGTTTCAGCAAAGTTTCAGAAAGGCTAAGTGATAAACACAAAACCCTACTGGCTCTAGGACATATTTATAGTTTATTTTAAAGATTGATCCTCCAAGTGTTATCAACAAGGGAAGAGGTTTTTCAGAGCCATTACTGAATACTGCAGTGCTTTCAGGAAGCACGTGTGTGCATGCATAAAAGGGATCCTAGAAGGCAGTGTAGCTGTACTCATGACTGAAATGAGGAAAGTCTGAAGCAGAAGGATCAGTTTAATGCTGCTAAGTTGTGAGTAGCTAAGAATGGGAAAAAAACATATGTGGGCTAAGTATGTGCACGTGAATGCTCACAATAGAAACAATAAAAACTGAAATGGGTAAAACTGACCTCCAAAGAAGATAAGGTAGAGAGGTGCAAAACACCTATATCACCTGCCTAATAACCAGTGCTTAATTCCTACCCACACATACATATTTCCAAAGGATTACTCTATTTTAGTTATTTTTAACTATTTTATCTATTTTTATATTTATCAATTTTAAACTCACAATTTTATCTGGCACCTTAATATTAACATTTCCTTCAATGTAAAAGCAGCGGAAATGTCAAATAATCTAGTCACAAATAATCCTGGATCTACAACCCAAGATGTGAGAAAAAAAATTCACAGAAGTTTAACAAAGACATAAAACTCACTTATCCTGTGACTGCAGTAAGGTACCAAGAAACAACATGATGATTACACAGCTTGTGATCATCTTATACTCACTGTCTCAGAACATTACTGTATAGAGACAGTTTCATCCAGGAAATAGAAATGGATTTTGATAAGAAGACAGGACAGACTGCAGTGACCAATTGCAGGGCATGACCAGATGAGCAGACTGACCAGCAACCTGTTCACATCCAACCAGGCCCCTTAATACCATGATCTCTCTATCTCCTTACTGTTGTTCATCCTCTAAACACCTTAATCTCCCTCTTTCCCTGTCTTTGCTTCCTATTCAAAGCATCTTATACAATCTCTTGCAGAATTCCAAAATGCATCCCATAGGCAGTAAGCCTCCTTGGTCTGTAAAGTGATACAGAGAGCCCATCTACCTGACTAACCTCGATGGCTTTCACCACACAATGAGCTGATTGTCCTCCTGTGACAGCCCTGGAAGAAGCCAGATCACAGTGCCCCCCGGTTTCTCTTGTAAGGGTTTCCTGACCACCACTGTCTCTCTGTGCTCCTTTATGTGTGTCAAGATGAACTTCGTGTTTCATAACCTAACAGTTTCATTGTAGNATATTATAATTGAATAGAACACAGGGCACTGCAGGGATTGTGCAACGAAATGCAAAAGTCAGTGTCACCGTGAATACACTCTTCTGGAATCCATGGTCACAAATGTACGTCTTAGTGTCCTCTGTGCATCAACAGAAAAAGCAAGCTGAAAGTATTCTGTAGTTGGTTGATGAAACTTTGTTCAGACAAACACCTCAAGCTAAGAGTGAATATTGCTAATTTTGATATAAGAAGAATTTCACAACCCCTTGAGAAGAAATAGAAAAGGAAGTTCCATTTTTCTTCTGTTCTGGCTTCTGTCCCTTCAGAAGATGTGCTAGTTCAATTTAGAGGAAGCACATCACTTTCCTTCTGGAGTGGCCTGTAGGTCTGTGTTTGGTTTCAGTACTCAATTCCTTAATAATGCATCTTTGTTTATTTTTAAATGATGTTTTAAAATAAACATTGGGTTAGTTAAAGGACCGTGAATTACAGCCCAATATCCTGATTAAGAGTGTGAACAATGAATAGCGTTCCAAAAGGAAAATTTCACCTTGACACTTATGCACATTGAAATTCTCTTCACTTTTTGTCCCCAATGAGAACAGTGTCACAGAATATTGACGTATGACCTGCAGAACATTTTCTTGCTAGCCTTTGTTCTTTTCCTCCATTTAATTGCTTTATTTATAATTCACTTAATTATTAGGAAGTGGTATGTGTAAGTTCATTTGTGGGTATCTTTGATATGTCAAAATCACTAGATCTTTGACTGCTGTATTTCTTAGTAAGTGTTTTGCAAAGTTAGATTTCCCAAGCTAATAAGCATACACCTTGATTACTGTCTGAAACAGTCCTCTGAATGATCTCCTTAACAAAATTCTCCCAATAAGAAAATGATACTAAAATTTCAATTAAAAGGTTTTAAAAAACAATGGAAACTGGAAGCCAAGAGTGGAAATGTTAAGTTTCTCTACATACCTAATATACACAGAAAACTGATCATAAGTT